CCGCCAAAGCAGGTGAAGAAGAAAATAAGGCGCTGTTTTGGACCACAACATATTAGTGCTGACGTTTTGGAAATTTACTATTTTCTATCATCAGTGTGGTGATTCGTGTGTTCCTGCATGCCGAGAATCGTAATGCCATGTCATCTGTCTCGTATTGTAGCGATGTCTCACGCAGGGGCTCTGACTTTCTTGCTGTCCGCGGATTAGCTGCTGCCTCCCCGTTGTGGATAGCTGGCTCCGAAAAAACAGCTTACATCGAGAGTGTATAGGAAAATCGATAATGGCGTGGCGTGGGGATTGGGCCAGTTTGCTGTTCCCATGTATCTCATCCCCTTCATATTAGCTCGAGTCGCGCCCATTTATCCTTCAGACTTTGTACACACCATCAAGCTGAATGTGCGTGTTGATGCATGACTCGTCCGAGTGCATTACCTCCAAAAATTCTCAGCCTTTCTTGAAAGAGTAGGCAGCGATAATAAGAGTTCTGTCCCACGCGAAGGTGTATGTGGCGTCTTAAGGCAATTGGACTCGTCTTTTTACTGCCAGCTGATGTTCGTGGATTCGCACAGAGGCGGATTTTCCCGTCTGACCGCAATAAACGGCATCACACATTCCACACGGGATCTTTTAAATAACCTATTTCTTATCCAAACATTTAACGTCATCCTTGGAGTCTACCAGTGGGCTGCATAATGTCGTAGTTGGCTTATGAGCCACCCGAATTTTATGCTTCCTCAGGTGTCTGTCAAATATTTCAGACACGTTCTTGATGTAAGGAGGGCTTCGCTAAGTTTGGGCGTTTTATTGCCACTGCTTAAGTCCTTCTTCGTCGACTCCTGTTGTCTCATGCCTCTACGAACAAATTCCCGCGGATAACCGTTTTAAGAGAATAATTCGAACAAATAATTTAGTTGGATCTGATAGCCGCCGTTGTCCGAGTAGTGCCTTCTTGCTCGAGTTAATAATCTGTTGACAATGCCCTTTTATGAGAGGTAGGGTGATGACTCACATAATTTAGCATGACTTCCACATAAATTTCTTCGCGGTAGACAGACGTGCGCAATTTTCCGACAAGTTTGCGCTGTACGAGGACGTCGAGGAATGGTAGTTTGGTGTCGGCTTCCTTTTCGAGTGTTAATGTTATCCCAGGAAGCATGGCGTTGATTACGTTGTGCTAGTGTTCCAGTTGATCTTTTATTACGATAACGAAGAGATTATCGACACATCGCACCCACAACTTGGGGTTGACTAGTGGCAAAACTATAGCCTCAAGCCTCTGCACTGTCACCTCGGCAAGAAAACCCATACAGGTGACCCCATGGGAGCTCCATTCAGTTGCTGGTAATATTTATTGTCGAAGGAAAAGTAAGTCTCTAGGCATAAGTCCAGAAGTAGATGTACGGCAGTTGCAGAAACGTCCGTCGTGTAAGATTTTAGTAATTCTTCTCTGCACTGCTTTGCTACATCGAGTGGTATGGACGTGAAAAAAGAGACGACGTCGATGGATATAATTTTTTCGTCTTCTGAAATTTTGCATCTTTGTAGTTTCTTTAGGAATTCTAAAAAGTTTTCGATGCAAGTTTCACAGGTTTTTGTAGGCGAGCGGAGATTCTGGAATAAAACTTTCAAAATTTTGTAGTTAGGTGCTCCGATCAATGATATTATTGGTCGCAGAGGAATTTCAGGTTTATGAACTATCGTTAGTCCATACATCTTACCGATCGTTGGTTACTTTGGTTCCAAGAATTTCGCAAGATCTCCGGGGAGTTCTTTTCACCCACTAAGGCGCTTCATCACTTTGTCAATAGATGAACTTTGAGCCTTGGTAAGGACTTTGGGAAGAAGTTTATAGGCAGAGGCATCTTCCAAAAGCGTCAGCTTCTTTTGATTATAATCTGTTCTGTTCAAGATAGCAGTTGAGCCTTATTTGTCTGCGGGGACAACAACGATGGTCTTGTTGGATCTGAGGGTCTTTAAAGTCTTTTTTTCTTCGTGAAATAAGGGCGAAAACTGGTTTCGATTATTCAGGGCTTGCGTGAACTTGTCTCGAATTGTAAACTGTTCGTTCTCGATAAGGTTTGTTGTCGATACGATGGTCTCTAACTTTGCAAGAATTTCCAGATGGTTGGAATCAGAGAAATTGTACTTCATTCCTCTTGAAAGCACATTCTCCTCTGCTGTTGTAAATGCCCTCGATGACAGATTTACGACCCTTCCTGAGGCTTTTTCGTTCTTCTCAGTCTTCTGGGAGATATTCGTTCACTTTTTGTCTAGTACTGTCCCCTTCATTTGTCGTTCGTGTTCTGAGGCGTGGGCAATCATGGCGCCAAGAGATTTAAATAATTCCAAGGGAATTTTATCTCGGCAAAATTGCATGCGTTGGTCCTCGGAAGATTGAAATTTTCGAAGACGGGGATGAGCATCGGACAAGGAGGCTCCGAGCATAATTTGGCCATATCGTGTTGCAATTTTATGTCCTAGAGCAGATTTCATGGCAAGTTTCACGCGCACAGACTTTGGTAAAGTTTTCCTTTCTCAACTTTTGTGTAGAAATATAAACTGTTGTCGCGTTTGACATTCGCGAATAGCATACATTCCCCAACCCCTCTTGCTTGGTGTAAAACGTTGCGGTCAAAATGCATACGTATGTGTTGAAAGGTTGGTATCCAAATAAATATAATATGAAGTCAAAATTGTTCTTTGGGAAGAGAGGTTTATTGCGTATATATATATATATCCCGATCATCATCCCCCAAAGAAGGCGAAGAAGAAA